TTCTTTACGGTGACCATCATTTGATTAGATTTTCATTAATATTTTACATAACATGCACATTTTATCAACACTTAGACAGCTTCTGAAAGGTACAACTTTGAGGAGCCATAAAAAACAAACCAAGTGACCTAAATCTTTATACTTTATAGATTTGTGACCACAACGGCATGGGCAATGCACCACCAACAGGAAATTTGAATCAGAGAAGGGGCCGTTTTGGAAACCGGCTCTTATAAGAAATTGTATTGAAAACACGTATCTGAAACCTACGTTTAAGGTACAAGGTCTACTTAAAGTTTTACAGAAATGCCACAGATGTTACAATGATACATCATAAGTTACCATTTGACGATAAATGAGGTTTTAACCGCGTTGTATTTCATTTATCAGAAAAGTAACCACAGGTGTGCTATTAACTACACTTTACCATAGGTGTGCTATTAACTACACTTTACCATAGGTGTGCTATTACATGTAACTACACTTTACCATAGGTGTGCTATTAACTACACTTTACCATAGGTGTTCTATTAACTACACTTTACTAGAGGTGTGCTATTAACTACACTTTACTATAGGTGTGCTATTAACTACACTTTACAATAGGTGTGCTATTAACAACACTTTACCATAGGTGTGCTATTAACAACACTTTACCACAGGTGTGCTATTAACTACACTTTACAATAGGTGTGCTATTAACAACACTTTACCACAGGTGTGCTATTAACTACACTTTACAATAGGTGTGCTATTAACAACACTTTACCATAGGTGTGCTATTACATGTACCTACACTTTACCATAGGTGTGCTATAAACTACACTTTACCATAGGTGTGCTCTGAACTACACTTTACCATAGGTGTGCTATTAACTACACTTTGAGGTCTTTTTGATCGATCAGTGTACTGGTCAGCCATAGACTTTAGTTAAGTCCCCCAAACAAAGTAGGGTGACTTATTGTTTTAGCTCCGTTTCTTATTATCATTATTATTATTATTTCAAGCTCACCGGTACTAAGATTTATATAAATATTTTTTAAATGCCGCCGTGACTATTCTCCATAATTATGTTTGTTGTAGATTTAAAAGAAACTGTGGTTAGGTATACATGTAGCAAACACTAGTGAAAGTTTTTTCTTTTATAAAAGCAATGGATAAAGTCTAGAGTGTTATCAGCCCAACAGAACTCAAAATATAAGTAGTGCATTTTATAAACTGATTTTCTATTCATATTGTAACAGTGATAGAGACCTAGCCCTCAGGCCTTTAAAGCTATCCCAAGCAGGCACTTTCTTTGAGGAAGCACTGGATAAGGTCAGAGTGTAATCAGCCAAAGAGAAATCAAAGATAAATTTTTAATTTTGCATTAGTGCATTAAACAGATTTTCTATTTATAGTGACTTATTGACCTTTGACCACTGGACCTGAAAAGTTATCCCAAGTAGGCATTTTCTTCCAGGAAGGACTAGATAAAATTTGAGTGTGATCAGTCCAACAGAATTCGAAATACAGTGCACAAACTGATGTTCTATTTATAGTAAGTGACCTAGACATTTGATATGAAAGGCTGAAAAGCTATCCAAAGGCTTCAGCAAACATTTTATTACACTGGATAAAGTCTGAGTGCTTATGGCCCAAAAGAGCTCCAAATATGGTGCATGAAATGTTTTTCTATTTACAGTAACATTAATCTTGAACTTTGATATCCATGCCTCAAAAGTTACAATTTGTATCCTCAGCAAATACTTTCTAAAGTAACAATGACCTTTACCTTTGACCACCAAAACACCAAAGCAGGCACTTTCTCTGAGGTAGCACTTGATAAAGCCTGAGTGTAATCATCCCAACAGAATTCGACATATTGTGCCTAAACTAATTTTCTATTCATGGTAACAGTGACCTTGACCTTTGACTGCCGGGCCTAAAAAAAACTATTCAAAGCAAGCACTTTCTTCAAAAAAGCACTGGATGAAGTCTGAAAGCAATCCAACCAACAGTACTGAAGATATTGTGCAGAAATTAAACAAGAAGCCCAATGGGCCTGTATCGCTCACATGCTCCTAATGCAACTTTGAAGCTGATCTAGGTCATTTATGTGGATGCTAAGTTCATTACCACTTTATTCAAGTATTTCACATTTGACCCCTGTTACCTTGAATGTAGATCAAGGTCATTTATTTGAACAAACTTGGTAGCCCTTCATCCCAGCATGATACAGGCCCAATAGCAGGTATCTTGGCCGCTTGGTTATTAAGAAGTTGTTTAAATATGTTAGCACATTTGACCCCTGTGAAGTTAAAAGTCGGTCAATGTCATTCATTTGAACACATTTCGTAGCCTCTCATCAAGGCATGCTATTGGCTCAATATCATGGTCCTCCTAGTTATTGAGAAGTTGTTTTAAGATTTTAGCACATTTGACTTTTGTGATCTTGGAAGGCAGGCAAGATAGTTCATTTGAACAAACTTGGTAGTCTTTTATTCAAGCATGCTACAGGCACAATATCAGGTCTCTGGGCCCTTTGGTTATTGGAAATAAGTCGTTTAAACATTTTACTTCATTTATCCCTTGTGAAAAGTCGGGCAAGATCACTCATTTGAACAAACTTGATAGCCCTTCATCTCAGCACGCTACATGCCCAAAAGCAGGTCTCTAGGTCTCTGGGTTATTGAGAAGAAGATGTTAAAAGGGAAAAGTTGACGCCCCAGAGCCGGACGATGACCATAAGACTGACGCCGCACCAGGGCAAAAGCTCACTTGTCCTTGGCAGGTAACTTAAAAACAGAAAGAAGGACAGACAGACGGAAAACCTGATTACTGAAGATGTACATGGGTCCTAAAAACAAATTGTGTAATTGAATTGAAGAATCCCCCTTTGGGACCCCACTCCTCCCCCTAGGGAGCCAGATTATTATGAGAGATATTCAGTCTTCTTAACCAAGTAATGCTCCATGCCATTGATTTGAAAACATCATCAATCCATAGAGAAGAACTTCAAATGATGTAGTCTATTAGGTAATTTATGTCCTCACAACAGCCAGGGTCATACGAGGACGGGTGTCAATGAGACATCTATAGAAGAAAACTACAATTCGAAGGAAGTGGATATGTTGCCGACACGTGCACCCACACAATTGAAGGGTGCCATTTTGAAATATCATGGTCACTATAATGGCCATATGAAAAGCATCCTGTTGGTTGGTTGGGGGAGCTTAACGTCCACACAACATCTGAGGCCATTAGTGCATGATACGTATTATGTGTGCCAATGTGTTGCTTCAAGCAATAAATAGAATTTGGAACATGAGGATCGAACTCGAACTATAATCCATCATTCAAGAAAAAGTCAAGCATCAAGTTACGTATTGATGTGTCAAGTGGTCGCGAAAAAAAATACAGTTACTAATAAGAATGTCCTACGTGCAAAGGGCTATAACTCCAGAAAAATAAAACATTGACACTGGATTCTAACTGACAAACTGTAATCCATTATACATGTATACTAAGTTACAAATAATATTGAAAACAGTTAATTATGAGAATTTCCTATGTGTAAAAGGGCCATAACTCCAGTCAAAAATGGAATATTAATACATGGTTCAAACACTGTAATCTATTATGATAAAGCCATAAAGTTTCAAATTAATATGGCAAGCGGTAGCGAAAATAAGTTTTTTAAAAAGTTGAAATTGATAATTTCCTATGTGCAAAGGGCATTAACTCCAGCAAAAAATGGAATATCAACACGGGGTTCGAACTCAAAACTAACTGAAATTTCTGGATATTTTTTTACAAAATAACTGGGGAAAAAATACATTTTAAAGAATGTGGTAGCTATGGAAGCATTCTATATATGTTATAAACATATAAAAGTTGATCCTTTGCAAAACAATAAGCTTTCGCAAAACCACCAATTCTCAAAAATCACCTAAACATGACATATTTTATCTAAAAGGACACTGGGAACTTATAGAAGTAAAAAACTATATCCGATATATAACAGAAAGGAATATGAGTAAATCGTGTGAGGGATACAACTCACAGGAATATTATCAAAAGGAAGACAATCAATCATAGCTGCAAAAATACATAGCAAGTGTTCCTAGTTTAAAACAAAGAGTATGAGTATTACTTGAAACACATTTTAGATTATATAAGAAATAATTCTCAGGGACACCATTTAAATGAAAATTAATTGATTGATATAACAGTCGAGATGCATTTAAAATCCTCCCCACATGGAAAGTAAAACAAACATTACAGTGAAATGTTCAAAACTGGCCTGCATGGTGTAAAGTTTCACCTTTAGGCCTTTTGTAACTTTCAGCTTTCTTGGTGAATTTTTTGCATTTTTAGATATCTCCCATTCTCATCAGATGTATATGAAGTGCATAACAAATGGGGGAAAAAAAATATGAATGATAAACTGCCAGAATAAGATGTATAGGAAAGCAAACAAAGGGGCACAACTCTTCAAGTTTGTGAAAATAGGATGCTTCTACACCAAAGTAAAATAACTTTGGCTACTTCAACTTCAACTTCTGATAGGTCAAAGACCCTTTATGAGACTTATTTAGCTGTCAAAAGTCAGACCAAAAAATACTGCAGTACAATTTTATGTTAACTTGTGTATTAGTGGATTTGAACACCACCGTAAATATGAATGTTGAACGGAAATATTTTAACATTTAAGCGAACACATATTCATTGTTTTTTACAATCCTTATTATCAAAGGTTTAGGGAATGAAGGGTTTAAATGTTGTTTGTTGATGTTTAGTGGATCGAAGAGATACATGTGTAATAGGACGAGAAATAGTGATAAAGATAGTGCCGTCGCTGGGGCTCGAACCCGCGACCCTTGGTTCTCCAGCTCGATGCACTACCGCTGAGCTAAAAGGAAATTCCCTACAGCTGACGCTTGTAAGGCAACATAATCAATGTTCATCATTTACACTAAATGTGACAGGAGAGGAAAAAAGCACGGCCAGACCGCGGTTCGAACCCGGGACCTTCCGAACTCTAGACGGATGCTCTACCAATTGCCTACATTCCTCCCTCCTTTAACAAAGTCTACGACCCCGAAGACACACGAGACCCTATAAACCATCTTCTGTGGGTATATTTTGTTTGGCGCCAAATGTGTCAGGAGAGGAAAATTGCACGGCCAGACCGCGGTTCGAACCCGGGACCTTCCGAACTCTAGACGGATGCTCTACCAATTGAGTTATCTGGTCGCCGACGATCGACCCAGTCCAGTTCCGCTACACATGTATAACCTTCATTTTTAAACATGGTATTCTAAAAGATATGATTAAGGTTTCAGACTCTTTTCGGTTATCAGCATCTTTTGAGGAAACTCCATGTATTGTAGCAGAAAAATGTCAACAAATAATATGAAGTGTAGTGCAGTGGATATAGAAAGCTCAATTCCTGCTATATATTTGTAGTAAAGTTGTCAACGAATCAAATCTTTGGCAGACCTTTCTTATACATATGACTTAAAAGTGGTTGCGAGGATTTATAAACCCCCAAAAACAAACTGATCCCTTATTACTTATACAGAGAACAGTGTCGAAATACAGATGAACTGAAGGTATATAAAAAAATAACCTCAGATAATTCGGGTAAAATGGACTTCCATCATAATATTACATATTCATAATGTGTTTATACAGCCTCTCTTAAGAAATACACATTCCATACATGTTTTCAGCCTAGTCATTATCTGTCCAATCTGTAACATCTCATCTCTGCTAGCCAAGCGTTCATTTTGTATTCACATATTGATGTATTCAACCTTAGCAGATTTAGCCTTGTTCTCTAAGCTTCCAAATTTTTGAACCTGGTACAGGGACTTGGAACGAATTACCATCCTATGGTATACATATATAAACACAAAGGAGGACAATACTTAAAGAAACATTTTCTGTATTTGATCAGTTGGTAGAGATAATTATATACATATATAATTGGCCATATTCTAACTGTTAATGATAACCAAGGGAAATACATAGGCGACCAGTGCTGAAATCATCTTTAAAGTTTAAAGTTTTGCTAGTAAAGTATCTTGTGCTAGGTGACAGGGGAGGGAAATTAAACACAAGGCTAAATCCGCCAATGTTGAATAGTACAAAATTAAATTATGAACACTTGGCTATTGAAGATGGTGAGATAACGAGGTTCGATCGTACATTTTGTAAATTACGATGTGTCTTCAGCAGTATGCTCCAGTGAAATTACACTATAAAGTCAGTATCAGACCTGCGCTATCACAAGTAGATAAACAGGAACATACCACAGACTTCCAAAACAAAAAATAATTATGCACAAACTCACCACACACATGCATCTCGCAAATGGGGGAGGCCATCCTTAAATGAACATGTATAGCTGTTGATAGGACGTACATTAAACAATAATTAACCAAACCTGAAGTTTATTTTGACATAAAGATCTTATTTATTTGGATATTTTCATGAAAATTATGACTTGTAATTTTAAACCAATCATTTGGTAATTTCAGCTTGCATGCACTGTATGAATGCTATTTTAATAACATTGTACCCATATGAATCCATGATTGTTGGGAAGTGATGCTATATTTGAATTTAATACACTTGATGCTCTATTACCTGACCTGGAAAGCGTTCGTAGCCAAACCGAGACAATACAATACTAAAAACGTCTCCCAATATTAACGGCTACCAAACCCGTGCTCCAGGTTACAAATAAACGCTATGTTTCAAAAAAAAATATTTTGTTTAGCAGTATCCAGAGGGATGTTAGGTAGGGGCTGTACAATTACCAGCCCTCTAGACTGCTTTTAAGTTTTACTAAGTAAGTTTTGTTAGTGCCAAATTTCTTATGATAAAATCTGTTGTTTGCCTTTACACTGTTGCAATGTTTTACCATTTATATCTATAAATGTTTGTCGAAATACAAGCTCCTGAGAGCTTATGTTAACTATGACATATATTCAACTATATTAAAATTAAGATATCAATACATTGTAAATATTATTTTCTTGAATGTTTGCCGAGCAGACGACGTTTGATCATAATCTCGAAACTAGAACATTTTTTCCCCAAAAAATTTGTTTTATCATTTGAAAGAAAAACGATTGAAGGGGAAAAAATCAATTTGTTTTTTTATGAATTAATAAAAGTGATACAGAAAGGAAATATTGTAAACAATTGATATTAAATTTATCAAAAACATCATCCTTAGAGAGTATGTTCTGGGCATGATCATTTAGAAGCTTTGCAATACTTCAACTCTTTCAAACGCGCATCAGCTCGAGATAAGGTTCTGTTTACAAAACGGCGACTGGAAGTAGCAAGGCGGATTAGACTGGAACTTCCATTGTGTATATTTCGGCAAGTAAACCTTTTACAAAAAGCCCGCGTGGTCAGATCATCTAATTTAGTCAAGATGTACTCAGATCAGTCGTTGTTTAGTCGCTACGGTCATTAACATAAAAAATAAGATTATTATATAAATCTTATTTTAATTATTTCTTCCACTTTCTTCCGCCAGGGAGGTTTCCGCCATTTTTCTCGAAAACTACCGAAAGGAATTGAACGAAACTGTACATGTGTGCTCGTGTATGAGAGGCAGTGTGCTTTCTTGATTTCTGATTCTTAAAACACAATTGCCGCCAAAGGGAGGCAACAAATAGGTCAAAATTTAAATGCTGTCGGATTTTCATGAAAATTGGTATATAGGTAATATATATGACACCACATTTACAACTGTAACGTCCATTTCCGGTATTAACAAAATGGCCGCCATTTCCTGGCCTCTGATTGGTCCAAATTTTTAATATCCTCCGAGTTCCATGAACATTGGTATATAGGTATACTTTAGTACACCCCGACTACAGCCGTAACGTCCATTTTCCGCTTTCAGCAATCATTTCGTAGCAAAGGGGTCGTTTGGGGGACTTCTGAAATGGTCCCCATTACAATTAGTACTTGTTATACTAAAGTGTTCTTTCAGGTCATTAAATAAACAAGCAGTGTACAAAAAGGATAAATATTTAAATGTAACATTTATTCAAGAGCAAATATATTAAAATATAAATTATAATTGTATCATGATAAATAGCATGCCTAACTAAACATTAAAAACACACAGACAAAGGAATATGTAACCCAGCATCCTTGGACGTATAATACTTTTTTTAAATTGGTTTACATTTATTCAACTGTACACGTTTAACATTAAGTCAAAGTCACTCACTCGGCTTATATTGCACACAAATGTACACTTCAAGACATCACTACGTTCAGTTAAAGCATAAGTACATCTTTTTACTGACATGCTGTTGTAACATGTTCATTTTATATAACTCACTTAAATAAATATTAAGATATGATATAACTTGGAGATCGGTGATCGTGTAGTTATTGCACAAATTGGAAAAACGGAACGATTTGTCACCAATGATAACAAATTGCATTATACAAAGGAGACACAGATAGGTCACTTCTTAATTTAAGACATAAACAATATACAAAATGATATCACGAATATGTTAAAAGAGGCGTTGTATAAGAAATCATCTGTACCTATGATGCCTTATCAAAACAACAGTTATAATCATTGGTTTGTTGTCGTCTTAGATGAAAGGCAAAGCACTTTCATCTGTATTTCAATTACTAGATTAATAAAGATTGAATTTTCGATTGTTTTCCACACTAGAAATGAAACAACTAGAAGTAATACATGATAATCAATAATGAAAGTGTATGGTGGTCATTGTCCCGGTTACACTCCGGACGGGCGGCACATAAAGACCTTCACATAGTCCATAAAGCCGACGAAGTTTTCGAAACCTTTGCTGTATCCGATCTGTAGGCCTGTTGAACTTGTCCTAATAGGTCCGTAAGCGTCCGTCTCGGTCGTCCTCTCGTTGCTTCTTGCTTCGAGACTGTAGTGATTGTGGATGAAGTAGATCTTATTCCAGTTTCCATGCTGTAAAAGAAACAATAAATTCTTCGTTATTTATCATTGTTAGTGTGTAAAATAATGAAGGTCTGTCCTGACATTAATGCTCAATAGTATTGTTACTATACTTTGAAGTTTCTTACTCAGTTATTTTTGTGTTTACACCTAACAGAATACCATATTGTATTGAAGACATCCGTGTCGTTAACAAATAAATAGCAAATATTCTCATTGTGAATGTTACTGTCTACTCAAGTACGACACGTGGATTATATTTATACAGCAGCGCGCAAATCAGAGGGAGGTGCAAAATACATTACAATATGTACTTACAAGTATTCCAAGGCGGATTGAAGCTGATTCCTTTGCGTCAGCTTTTGCCCGGAAGTAAATGTTTCTTGAGGTTTTGAGGATATTAATGGTAGCTCCATCATTACAACAGTCGCTGTTGCTTAGCAGCGCTTGAACACCTGTTTTGATCGGAAGAAACTTCATGATGATGACAAAATCTGTGTAAAACTCCATATTGGCGAAATAGGGGATATATAATTTGGAACTACCATTGAAGTAGCCATAGCTGTTTCGAAGGACTTCAACATTGTCGTTCTCTACGTGAATGGTTCCATCGGCAATATTCTTCACATCTCCATCGAATGGAATGTTGACAACTGGTTTGCACTCTGAAATGTCAAAGGAAAGACATAAAATACACATTCAAAGATATATGAAGAAAAAATGCCTATTTATAATATTTTAAATTTTTCTAAAAACATATGTTTTATCATATTTAAACATGACGCAAAAACGTATAAGAAGCACATAACAATACCCTAACAACACATTGGTAGGTTTAACATCTTTGCATTAGTATAATATGTACTTCTATATTTAAACACGAAGACAAATGCATATCATATAGTTCTGTATAAAAAGAGGGTAGTTTATGATACTTTTCAATTTGTTATGTTATTAGGCCTTTGTATGAATAATTACCTTTGCCAGGTACGATGCTTTCGTACATTTCGCAGCCACAAATCATAGCATTGTAGCGGGTTCCTGGGGCACAGGGACGTTCCATCCAACCAAATCCATTGACGTGCTGTTTATACACCTTGGGATTCCCGACCACCATCATCGTATCACATCCCCCGGTCTGGTGGGTGAATAATGGCGGACATGGGTCGTTACAACTTGAGTCGGCCTTGCATCCATAGTAGGGTGTGTAAGAATAGCCTTTGGGACAACACATACCCTCAGATTTGCCCATGTTACATTTCCAGTGCGCTCGGCAGCTGCTTACACCGGTGTATGGGTAGGACAACAGAAATGGGTATCGGCATTTCTCTGAAAATATTATTACAACTCATGTTTATTTGTATTAATTAATTAATTTATTTATCTATCTATTTATCTTTTTTTTATTACAACCATGTTTATCATTAATTTATTTATTCATTTGATTTTTTTTCTGAAAAAGTTGCACAATTGGTCTTAAAGCTATATCATATACATGTATATCTATGTGATTCATTTAGTTTACTTCTTTAAATCAAAAACTTCGGGGTTTTGTCTTAACAAAAGTAATTATCGAGAAATTAACAACATATTCTTCTTTTTTAATTCATTTCAAATCAATTCATATATTTTCATGAGACATTAAATATCGTCATCTTGAAAAAATGTCAGATTTTATCATTTGTGACGGATCAAATAAACAAAGAAATCATTCTTACCTCTACGACATGGAACTTCAGCAGCCTTTCTGCAGGTGAGCACTGTTTGGTCCCAGTACTGGCCAAACCCACACTGTCTATCTATGGCACGAACTTCTCCATTATCTCCGAAGAAACATTGGACAAACTTGTCACATTCCTCTGGGTGAGGATTAAAACCTATACCGTTAACGATGGTACAGTCGTCACACACGCCTGCAAATAGAATGGAATTAATTATCCTAAATTCCGGAACAGAGGAACATCATGTGCTTTATATTTAGCGAAACAAATCACAGTTGGCTATGATATTTTACTATAAATAAATAAATAATTTCAACAGGTCATCATTTGAGATGCTTTTTACAATATGCTTTGGACTCTTTCAGGCAGAAATGTTAGTGTACGTAATCTCCAATAACTCCTTACATGTTTAATATAAGTTAAGTTTTTACTTAAAATTATATTCTTTATTTAAAGATTAGCAAGTTCAGTAGCATCGTCTTTACACCAGTTAAACAAAGTACCTTTTGATGGGGGCAGCGTGCTTGGTTCTGGAGCTTTAGCAGTGGTTGTGGTAGGCGCAGGTGTAGTTGTCGTGGTGGTTGTGGTAGTGGTAGGAGCAGGAGTGGTAGTGGTAGTAGTGGTGGTTGTTGTCGTTGTAGTTGTTGTGGTAGTCGCTGAAAATTACAAATAAAAGGTAAAACACTGCAGGAACTTCTTTTCTTTCTGCTCAGTTTATAAAATCCAATGTCATGACATAAAACTGAATATAAACTTGAAATACATAGACTGACGCTGATGGCCACAATCATCTCTTTTAGGTTGTTGTCAAATTTAACCAGTACTTTCGTATTAAATTGTTTATGTACCCTCCCTTCCCTCTCAACAGTTGTTAAGATCCATTTGTTGGCCCTATCATCACTGATAGGTCCGAGAAGGACGAAACAGCTGCATCCTGCAGTGTACGTCAGTATATAATTACATTGTAAGTCATTATATAATTACAGTGTAATTCATTACATTATTACAGTGTAATTCATTCCATAATTACAGTGTAATTCATTACATAATTACAGTGTAATTCATTATATAATTACAGTGTATTTCATTATATAATTACAGTGTATTTCATTATATAATAACAGTGTAATTCATTATATAATTAGAGTATAATTCATTATATAAGTGCAATCACATGTGTATGCCTTACTTTCATCCTTAAAAGATCAATATATGAGACTTGTCGTTGTGTTTTAAATATATAATGATAAAACTAGTATATTATGATATACTTACTTGGGCAGACAAATTTGACGAGGTCTCCTATTGAATTAGCCAATAATGAAAATGAGGCAACCTTTTTCACTTGATCTTTGGAACTGGCAATGGCATTCAGTTCGTCGTCGTCCATCAAACTTCCAATACCTACGGCGTACATGTTGATACCATACTCCCTAGCAACCCGAGCCTGATCTGCAGTTGCATTTGGGTTCTTGGACCTTCCGTCGGTCAAAACGAATCCCAACATAGGGACGCCAGGCCGTTCGTCCTGTTTAAATAGTTTGGTCATACTTTCGATGCCTAGGTCTGTATTGGTGCCTTCTTTGTCGTGAGGCAGATGGGTGACATTCTCCTGTAGACCAACCTTGTCACCGGTCAAAGGTATTTCCAAGGAAATCCTTGAACTATACACCACAATACCCATGCGAGCAGAGTTGATGTGAATAAGGTCTATGAAGGAATTCATGGACGTTTTTAACGAACGGAAGTCTTCGTCGTTGATACTATCTGATGCGTCTATCACAACAATGAGGTCGATGAGGCCCTTGCATCCTATGTAAGTATAATGGTCGTGTAAATCAATATTGAAACGAAATCAATTACATATATAATATTTGTATGGATTATTCTTTAAAATATTCATATCAATAATTATATAAAATATGTTCATGAATTAACTATTCTCTTATTCCAAAAATATAAGAATGAAATATTGAAAAGAATATTTAAAATAAAAGTCAATTTAAAAATATTTTCAGGTAATATTTTTTTATATTGAAACATTATAATAGTGTCAATCTTCGTACCTGTTGTTGGATTTGTCGATAACGTCCCATCACTTTTGATAAGACTGAAGGACTGTAGCAAAATAAATGTTGATATAAAAAGTTTTAACGACGAAACGTAATGCAAAAACATCGTGAAACTTAATAAAATAAATAGGTATACAAGATATGTTGCTAGATTAGAAATAAATTTGTACTGAACTTTGAGCAGCACCTCTAGCTTTATATACAATGTTTATGATGATTTACATAATTGGAAGTGATCAATTTTTCTTTAACCGTATCCACTATGACGTCAACGGTTGTAGATGTCATACCTGGAAACAGAGTAGCCTGGTTGGCCGGTCCTTCTCTTTCGTATTTAAGCACACTCGATCATTGTTTAACACGCGTGTTGATAGAGTAATGCCTTGACTGGATAGCCGTAGGCGATAAACCGCACAAGTACATTTTCATCAGAATTCATACCAACTGTATATAGAAAGACAAGCAACCATGAGTTGTGCTTTTTATTTTAATTATGTGTTTCCGGATCAATGGTTAAACCTACGCTATGCATATATATCTATTGATGCAATCAAGACAAGCATTGTTACATAATGAAAAAAATAATTATGATTCAGTTGATATGTGTAGTTATTTCCGCAGATAGATTAGTAGAGACAGACTATATCATAGTTTTAAGGTGCGAACTCAACCATACATTGCATGTGTCAGTTCCTACATCTGGTTAGTATCAATTATCCCACACTTATGCCTGTTGCATGTCCATTGTTTTTCACTAACAATAAGGGAAAACAAAAGGTGGAAGTGAACACGTCATTAAGCCAACACGGTTTAATTTAATAAAATAATCGGCAAGTAGATATAGCATTGGTAGATACAATGTACAACGGGTAAGAAGGTAAGTTTTCTCGAGTATATAACGTTATCGTGACTATTGCAAGTGTTTTAAGTTGTACAATGACATTGAATTTGTATATATATAATGAATTTTTACATTCAACAAATTGGTAAGATTTTCAATTTGATCTATTTGAAATATTACAATTAAAAATATTTTCAAATGGAGACCAAATAAAACGAAATTAATGTTTTTTTAGTAATATGATGTATCTTGTAATACAATGTACAAATAAAGTCGTATATCGTATTATCACTTTTCATAGTCTTCATAACTCGATCTAGTTTACAGTTTTCAATCAATAATCATAGAAACACATTTATTTGCAATAAAATTATTCACATCTGACAAAGCAAATCTTTCGATTAGCATTAAGTAACAACAGGCATATTTGCTCTTGAGTTCCCGAGTTGCAGGGGTGAACATATAAGATTGGTTTATTAGAGTGAGGCTACTACAACTAAGATCATTGAAGTACATTTGACGGTCAGTAAAACAATACATGTACGATACCCTAATACAGAAAGTATAGTATCCATATTATAAATACATAATGAAGCTTAACTAAATGGATGGGTCAAAATGCGGGAAAATGATTGAAATGAGAAAAAATTAGCATTTTTTTTTTCTGTTCTTGCTTTGACATTTTCCATGTTACTATCATCCCGATAGGAATGAAGGATTTCTTTTTATTTGATAGAGTATAACATATATGTATAGGTTGTCAGATTCACTAAAATATAAGCTTTAAGTATAAAATTTGTGAAGTATCTGTGTGACCGGTGCCGTGAAGATTTAACAAATGGGTGTGTTAGATTGATGTAGGTACTCTGTTAAATTATTCTTTGAAGAAAAAAATTAAACAAAATATCGTCATGAATAGTAATTTGAGGTCATGTCACGTACGTCAAGGGGAGTGATCTGTGACGATCATTGTGTCAAACATGAAGGTGATATATTCACTAACATCAACTTTTCGATAATAATAGACACAGATAGCTGTTANTAAAAATTTAAAAAAAAAAAAAAAAAAAAAAAAAAAAAAAAACACTAATGAAACTCACTGACCAACAGATTGCATTGATAATTATATTTTCCTTTTTTAAAGCTTGTAGTTTAGTAAACAAACAGCAACAACAGAGTAAAAAGCAAACCGAAAACGAAACTAACTAACCAGCATTAATAACAGAACCCCTTCATTCAAAATACTGGCAAAACACTTTTAAAAGGTACCACTAAAAGCAATGGAAACGGACATTGACCTAATTTGCTTTGAAAATATATTATCTAAACCTAAATAGATTGAAAATCAGCAGTAAACAAAGCCAAACAAAGACGGCAATACAAACCAATGTAAAGTTTAAATTATATCATTAGCCTTATTTTATTTTGTTAAAATACTATATTGTTAGACATTACATTATACTAACAAGTTCAGACATGATTTAAAACTTTCTATTGAAAAACATTACTCCGGCTTATCTCATTTTGATGTAATACATAAATCTAAAAACGCGAACTAATCACTCACATAAAGGTATAGTATGTATAATTTATTCATAAGTAAAAAGGGAAAATATCATCAAACAAAGCGACAAGAAAACAGAGTACAAAGTCTGAAAGAAACGACAACGTGAGAGACCAACGAGACATCACTTTTATTTCCTTTCACTTTTTATTTTATTTTATTTTACACAAGTCATAGGCTAGACGAAAATAAATTATAACCTGTGCACTTCCAAACCAACAGTTTGTGTGAACATTTTGTTCTAACAAATTTGATTATCAAATTAATCTGAAGTTATTCGGTTAACACGTGTAAAATAACCTTAAATGATTTTAAAGGAAAGTGAGTACCAGGATACAATTGCAACTGTTTGTCAGTACGATGGCCATGTCGTGACAGAATGGAAGTTGATGACATCAAAGATTAGTTGATTCCTTAAAAAGCAAAGGCGTTTTATCCTTGTTGGTTATGTGCATACAATCTTGATAGAGTAATAAAAACGCATTAATAGCTTATCGTTATATGTGACAAAAAAAATTATCTCGCTTTCTTCATGTCCGTAAGAATATACATCAATAACTCAAATAAACATTATTTGTTTGATGTCCTATCATATTTTCAGCAAATTATTCTAAAGTGCTTATGAAATAATTTCTAGAAATATGGACGACTCTTATTTATCGTTAAGTTTGTCAATTCATAATGGCAAACATAGTCAGTATTATACCACACCTTAAATTCGTTTAGCCCTTGTAGGATCCATCAGTAAAATGAAATAAAAAGACATGTCTGAAATATACCAAAACATATAAGATATACAGTGACAGGGAAACTGATGATGCAACTGATGTGCTTGCAAACGCCACATAACGTAAAAACGTCACAACATTTGGCTAGAACAGACAGCCTTTTCTTAAACTTTTATTCGATGCTAACAGCGCCAGGATTAAAACCAGCAATCAGTTAACGGCAAACCTCGGGGATAGAAACTTCGTTAACGAAGTCAACCACCTTATTGTGTAAAAAAATTACGATCAACCCAGAAACTGTAATATATTAACCAATTTAAGAACGTACGAAAATCATGCAAGTAGAGTTGCACAAAAGGGAAGCATAATCTATTGCGCAACGACATAGCCACATCCAGTCGTCTGCGGGATTCGAACCTTCTACATTTCCGTCAATAGCTGTTACAGTACTTTATGCGTTATACTGCCTCAAATTTGATTATTTTCCAGAGCAGTAACTCGTTCATGGTTATAATTTTAGAGTTACATTTGCTTCATCACAACTTTTTTTAATTAAGGATCGCCCCCAGACCATACAAATAACTTCCTTATATTACCGCACTATGGAATTCGTTTAAACATTCAACGAAGCTTTAATGAAAATAATTTTGAGTAAGTTCAATCAATCATCAATACGATTACATGCAAATAGGTGTCATTATTTAAACAATGTGTAACGTTGCACAGGTGTGGTGAACGCATTTCTTATTAAAGATCCCCGTACATCTGCCGAAAACTGTACACATTGAAACTTTTTCGGCATGATTACAGCTTTGATCATCAATTCTGAAAAGAAACCCGTACCTTGTGATACTTTGGTGAAAAGTTGATAAAGATGAAATAATCAAAAAGCATTCCATAACAGTGTTTAGAGTGTTAAAACTTTCAACGGTGTTTAACTGGGACTCGAGCCCTATATTTCAGATTGTTATAATATCGCTCTTACCTGAGCGTCCAGACCCAAATGTTCTACAGTTGTATACCTAACGAAATTAAGAAGAGGTTAATGCATATACGTAAAAACCCTAAGGTGGTATCGGGATCTTTTAAAGGGCATAAACTTTGATATGTAGACTTTATGATGTACAGTAAATAAAGACATGGATCGTCTTCAAACCATTCATAATGCAACAAGCAATGTTCTTCTTAAAATTACAAATGAAAGAATAAATAAAATTGATAAATAAATTGTTATAAGCCCTGCTTTAGGATTTAGTCAGGCCAAATTTGTCCAAACTTAACAAAATGATGTTTAGCCATGACCTCCACATTTAAAGGATTGATGAGTGTTTATCAACAAGTGTTTTGCAAGAAGAATCATTCTTAAACAACACTAGAGGCATTTGTTTTTGCTTTGTTCAGATACAACACGTCTAGTTACTGATAAATACTACACATGAACCATGAAGCTGTTTGGAGTAAACATCTGTTTAAAAAGAGGTCAGCCATTTAAGTTTGACTCACTGTTTACAATACTGCAAGCGGGGAGATCATTAACGACAGAAAATTATCATTTACAAACGAAACTAATTTGTGTACCATTCTAGATTTAAATACGTATATCGTCATTAAAGTATGACGTTTAACGATACGAACTATTCATACATGCATATCTAAACGTGCACTTCGTAAACGATTTGGATAGGAAAAAGTGTCTTCTTCTTTTTTAAATAAATGATTGAATTGATAAGCGCCGCTAATCTGGAAAAACAACTTCTGGACATTGCGGCGAGATAATGAGCTTTTTCGGTTAGTGTACGCGTGTGTTTTTTTATTTCGTTTTGTCATAATGAGCCATATCAATCTTCCTGTTTATTTATTGAAACGTAATACATCACACTTTTCGTGTTACTAAATACTGTTACATGTACGTGATACGAAACCAGTTTCTATGAAAAGTTCTCCCGCACCTATTCTTTTAAAACATCGTATTCATTCCTTGTCATTTCATCAACCATACAATCTTTAAAACATCTTAACGGGGT